AAATCTGAAATTGAATTGAGATACTTGAAATTAACCTTATCTTTACAAAATTGTTTATACAAGAGGTGAAGAATTCTAACCCCGTAAACCATATTGTTTTTTGTTGAATCAACCACCTCTATACCCTTGATCAAAGCTTGATTAAGTCAGCAAAAATGCGGCTACAATCCTCCGATTATCCCGAGCACGCACTTATTGAATCCAATATTCTCGAACACGATTCACTGTCTCGCGCTACTCTCTTACAAGGAAACCACCTTGTCCCAAGGCCTTCACCTGGTCGAATCTATGTTGACGTGATCTTGTCCAAAACCTTCAAATCACACCGATCTTGAAGGAAAACCCTGCCTTGGTTTTCTTATTTGAAACAGACAAAGATGCCAACCCAATATTCTCGGTTACACCAAACTTAATTGGACGTTATCAACCTAAATCTAGATGGTCACCCAATCGAAAAATGATTATGTGTAGTTCAATTGTGTGTATTCATAAAAGAAAGGTTGAAGATGATGGGAATGCTATATAATCTGGTTTCGTATAGGTAATTCACTAGTACATTGCTAGATAAAGGTGCTTGTATGAGTATATATATGTTTGTATATGGAAATAAGCAAAAAGGATGCTAAGATGCAAAGTGAAATTTATTTTTTTGAAGGTTACAGGTCAGCCTATGAAAGTAATAAGTCGGCCTGAAGGAGGTGGCTTATGAATAGAACCCACATACTTCATTCTTGGAGCGTGGAAGCCAGTCTGTAGTCATAAGTGTTGGCCTATACTGAAGCAAAAGCTTCTACAAGTCGGTATGAACACGTATAGGTTGGCCTGTGCAGTTTTGTTGACATACAAACTTGGTTTTTAGTGTGAATGGCGTGTCTAAGACCTTTCAAACTTGTTCAAAGAATATTTGTATGCATCCTAAGGTTAAAATGAAAGATGCACATCTAAACTTAAGTTGATACCGTCCAATATACAAAAACGCTACATTATGCTACTATTTTTGACACCATTTAAACCCCGATTGAATTTGTAGATAGCACTCACAAATATCTTCCTAGAGCTCACCTAAAACAGAACAGAGTGTCTGCTCTGATGCCAGTTGAAATTTTGGCACAAGAATATAGATGTTGTATATAATATCAGAACAACAGAATGTTGAAATCAAAGTCAAGGCATCGTAACAACGCAGTAAAATCATGAAAAATTCAAACAGCACGGTAGAAGTAAATAACACGGTCAATTGTTAATCCAGTACGGTGCAATGTTACCTATATCTGGGGGCATCCAAGCCAAGAAATAAACCCATTATAATAGTATTATTTTGAAGTTCTAAACAACCTCTAGTTTTACAAAATTTGCACCTAATCACTACCCGTGGAATTTTTATCTAATACTCTTCTATATATAAGACCCCTTTCACTCCCCATCAATCACACAACAGTGATGACAACGAAAGCAATCAAAGAGGAGACACACTCCAATAAACAGAATCCATTATTGCTTAAAAGCTTATGATTGATTCACAATTACAACTCAACTATCAGTCCAGCTCTACCATCAATGTGATACGATAGTGGCTCACAAACAACAAAGAGAAAACTAAACCTTAAAAACTCTCTCACACAATAATACTTCCATTTTCTTAGGTTTAGGTTAGTCCTTTAAAAAGCCACGGAATAGCATGAGCTTCGGGCTAAACAAACAAACACACAGCAGATCCAAAACAGATTGTTGCACAGAGTTCTGCATAATTTTCAGAACAGAATCAAATGTTTTGACATCCATTCTTAGGAAACTTGAAAAATCTGGAACTGTCCATTGTACTTCTAAAACAAATACTTCTTGGACCTCAGAATGCGTAAATCAAATCTTCAATGAATCTCCAGAATCTCACGCTAAAAAAACAAATCTTTCAAGAATGTAAAACCACAGCACGCCACATTGTCGAACAAACTTGTCAAGATATCTTGTCCAACATCTTGTTATTTAACTTGTTTTAACAAAATGTTGCCGATTAAAATACAAACAACCTAATAATATTGGTGGCTAAGAATACTTATGTGGTTGGTGCGAATGAATTGTGTTGGAGTGATGTGAATGAAGATATGTGATTGTTGATGTTTTCTTATGCTACCCTTGTATGCTTTTGCACCATTATATATTTCAAGTGTATTCTCACTCTTTTGTTATTTTTGTGATTTTGCGCTCCTTCTTGGGGTATAGACAAACAGATGAATGAGTAGCTGCTAGAACCTGAAGGATAGCGTTGGGGTTATTCTTTTCATCTCGTTTAATGTGATATTTAGATTTTTGTTTCTCTAACAAGTAACATTAGGCGGGAGAACGTTATATTTTTACTATTCATTATCATTTTTGAAGTTGTTGGTGCGAGCATTAGACTTGCAACATGTTATGTTGTGTGTTGTTTATGTTGAAGGCATTCTATCATAACCAAGTTTTATGTTTAAAACAAGTGTTGTGAGACTTAATCGTTTGTTGAGTTGCTTTAATTGATTTATTTTCCGCTGCAATGAGCCTATGTAAAGGCAAGTATGTGATGACATATGCTTAAATTATTATACGTTTTGTCTGAACCATGTTACGGAGCATGTATGCGTTATGTTTGTGTGACACCCTATATGTGTAATTGTTTTAAATTCACATTGTTTCGCATCGGTGTTGTTAAGGCGTTACAATTTTAGCCTTAACACACCACCAATAAAGGATTTGAACTTGCTAACCAATCGTATAATGTTGTTTAGTTATTTTTGAAAATACAAAAGTGCCTTTCTTTCTAGATAATCTAGTTACTCGTTAACCAAATGAGTTGAAAGCCCTATTGAGCCTTCTAATAAAAGAATGAGATCTATAGAATTTAAAAGAAAGAACACCGACGACATTTATATGGACGCGAGGATTCTATAACCATAAAGATCACAATTCAAAATCATTCCAAAAATAATCACTCCCCAAGAATAAATTTTGAGCGTTCTGTTATTTTTGGCACAACCTGCACACCCTCGAGCATGCCAATAATATTCATTGTCTCTTCATATTGTCTTTAGAATGGATCATATTGTTGATGATCTTCCGTATCAACAAATACATTTTAAGAGACGTAATTTTGATCCTTATGAACTCTCATGTTGGTAAAGGATAAAGTCGGCCTTCATGTATAAGAATGTAATATCCACCTTTCAGTGAGTATCGTCATCGTGATCATGGGTCTACACCCAATATTCAATGACATTATTATATTGAAAAATAATGTTATCTAAAAAAGAGAAAAGAAAAAAAATGTGCCACATGTTCCTTCTCGTAAGTGAAGATAACTATATTCCACCTCCACTTTGGACCGTCAGACCTCCATTATAATATTCTCATCTCCATAACATAAATATTTCATCATCCAAAAACTCATAAAGATGGAACCTATAACAAAGAATGCCTCCCTTCAACCAATGGGCTTTCAAAAAAGGATGTTTCTTCTTTATTACCTATTGAGCTGACATAGTTAGTTGCTTAGCCACCAATCCAGACTCACTTCACCCATTTCTTAAATCAAGTCATGTTTCTCCAACCACAATAACTCGAAAAGGTTTATGATTTAGTAAAATGGGGGTATTTGGTTGTTGTGATGGGATATACAGGATTCTCATAAAGAAGAAGATGATGTGACGGATATTAAAAATAAGACAATCTTTTGAGAAAGGGGTGATGTGACAAATGGTGTAGTACTTAGAACATGTGATAGTTTTGCAACTTTAATTTCAAACTCGGGTTGTACAGTATGTTTAAATTGTTGGAATTCTAATGGCAACGTACGTGTTTTCACTTGTATCAATTTCATATTATGGAGTCATCATGTGGTCTCTAGTTTAAGGTTGAAGCTAATGGGAGGATTTAAACTTTCAAATATTTTTTATGTCTATTCTTGATTTTGAATCTCAACTTTTTTTCTACTCTAGAAAATGCCTTGACTCATTCATAAGTCTCTACAAAATTGTCTTCAAAGAAGCAACTTTAAATAAGTCAATTAACTAGAAAAATTACCACTAAATTTCTAGTTTAAGGTTGAAACTAATTGGACTACTTAAAAATCCAAAATTCTTTATGCTTACGCCCTATTTTGCCTCTAAGCTCTTTTGGCTTGCTAGAAAATATTTTGGTCTCATTCATTGAAAAAAAAAATTTTAAAGAAATTGTAATAAGATTAACCTTTTGTTTTATTTACAGGAGTGTATATCATTAATCTTTTAAACCAATTAGATTGCAAGAAAATTATGTGTATGCCTGGCTAAAACAATGTGTTATCTACATGTAATTGTTTTAAGCCATATGATTGGTCTACATGTATAAATACATGCTTGTGTTTTAATAAATATATATAGAGTTTCAAGAATGTAGACTAAACATAGTTCATCATATTTGAATGGGTATAATAAATTTAACTTATGTGCTGAAAAGATTTACTAATTTATATAAATAAGACATTTATTAAAATACTAATTTATTACAAACATTTAACTTAAATCACTTCATAAAATATATAGTTTTATAGTTTTTATTGTAAATCTTTGATCATAGTTTAATATTTTTACTATAAATCTTTAGTCACGGTTTTAAACACTTGAGTTATAACACACAACTCTTGATAGAACAAAAAAAAATTGTTAAAAAAATAACATAAAACATTGCAGTTCACGAGACAATGACATAAGCAATTAAACTAAAACTTTGCACTAGATTGTTTCAACACGTCATACAAGAAATCATGAATTATACATTAAAATGTAAAAAAAAAATTATGAATGATAAAACCTCCTCTAGTTATATATGTGGAGTCAATTTTCGGGCATAAAAAACAAAAAATACTTTAGAGTTAACAAGAAGATTATAACTTTATTTATTTATTTGTTTATAGATTACAAAGATTTTGAGTTAACCTTTTAACTAAGATTATAATTTCATTTATTTATTTATTTATAGATTACAAACCATCATTACGGGAAATATACTTCAACCGGACAATTGATAGTAAGTTGACCGGTACAATCTATATAATCGACACTGACTTTATTCAAACAAACTCTAATTTCAAGTAAATAACACATTTTGCATAGAATCTGTGGTTTTTTGCCAATACCCTTCCCTATGGCATTGAATATATCCCTGATCTTTTCTTTCTTTGTACCACCAGGTTTAATACCATTCAAATCAAGGATAATCTTGAGCTTATTTTTATGGTAAATTTGTAATGCTAAATTAAAGAACTCTGGCGCATTCATTGATGAACAAGTCCCGTGTAATTTCCACTGCTTTGACCAAAAAATAAACCCATCGATCACTCTCATCCCCTCTAAGTTTGGCCAAAAATTTTCTAACTCAACCTTTATAGGCGACACCTAATAAATCAAAAACAACCAAAAAAAAATGTTTAAATAATATATAGGTAATAATGATCATAAATAATAGTAGCAAACATCAACAACAGTAAAATAAATACAATTCATTAAAATAAACTTACTTTGCTCTAGCAAATATCAACAACAATAAAATAAACACAATTCATTAAAACAAACTTACTTTGCTCTAGCAAACATCAACAATAGTAAAATAAACACAATTTATTAAAATAAACTTACTTTGCTCTAGCAAACATCAAAAACAGTAAAATAATCACAATTCATTAAAATAAACTTACTTTGCTCTAGCAAACATCAACAACAGTAAAATAAACTTACTGCCCTCAGCTGAAGAGGATCATGACTGCATTCACGTGGCTGAGAATAGGTTCTGTTTGATGGCCACAGGCCGTGTATTGTGAACATGGAGAATATTTGTGTTTTGGGACATAGGTTAAACTTGCAGAATGATGCCGGTCATGTTTCAACCAACTTCCAGTAATCAAATGGTGTCACAAGTGGTGATGGTGGTGGTGGTGGAGGAGTTGGTGGCCGTTTTTTCTGTTTTTTAAGAATCGCATACTTAAGATTTGGATGGTAAGATGATGGAGAATGAGAAAGAGGAGATGGTGGAGTTTTATTATAGGCTGGAAAAGAGTATGAAGGGACCAATACTAATCCAACAAATAACAGAACCCAAATCACCATTTGTTGTGATAATGAAATGAAGTTAAAAGCCATTATTGTATCATAAAAGTGAAATGTATTTTCTGTGAAGTTTTAAGTAAGCCGCTTATCATATTTATAAAAAGAACCCATCAATTATTGCTGATGTAATACATTGGTTACTTTCACTAAACAATCTAAACATGTCATGTGGGTCATAAACTTATTCTCAAAAATTAATTACCCACCCATTGGTTACTTTCACTAAACAATCTAAACATGTCATGTGGCCATTGGTTACTTTCACTAAACAATCTAAACATGTCATGTGGGTCATAAACTTATTCTCAAAAATTAATTACCCACCTATATATAGGATGAATTACAAAAGATTATTTTCTAAAAGTCAAATCTACAAAAACACAATTCATTAAGTGCAACATGACAAATAACATCTAAAATTAAGTGCAACATGACAAATAACATCTAAAAAAACAACGTAGAACATTGTAACAACTTCAAACACATTACTGTAGAATATTTTCACATCAATCGATTAACAAAGAGCAATGAAGATGCAGATTATTATTATAGTTTTAAGTGGAGGAATAATCACATACAGTCATATTGGGATTGGTCGATCCTGCATCTCAAAGTTCTTCCTCAATGCAACGTCTACTTTCCTTAATTAAGGTCATTCCTCCTCGTGTGATCGTCCATTAACTTGATGACATATGGTCCTGCCTTACATCAAAAGAGTCAAATGTGTTATCAATAGTGAAAATAGAATTCTAAAATGACAGAATCAATATAAAAAGTATGCTAACTATTTTTCTCCAACCCAGTCAATAACTGCATAGGATGTTGAGAAAAATTGGATAGAAAATGATCAATTTTTTGGACAAGTTTATAGTTTTCATAGAGCCCTCTATGTCTTGGTTATGCTGTAAGCACCGGTCCACACATATGATTTCAACACAATTTAGTAACAATTTTGATTTGCAACAACACAGCCATATTCATTCGATTTGTATATAAAATTCAGAGGAAAACTGCTAATAGCAATAGCAATTAGGAAAGAAACATGGCAAGTAATGTAATCGCCTGGTGAACCATCAATATCAACTACGGAAGTGTAAATTAGTGAACACAGACACACATCAAGAACAACTATCGAAGTTACACGTGGTTAGTCTATTCAAACAAGCAATTAGATGAACCAACATCTATGTTATCAATCTCAGATAGAGGCACAGCGCAATCATCTCTAAAATGGAACGGAACGGGAGCGGGAAGCAAAATGGCCGATATTTAAGTAATATGGATACTAAAGTAGTTAATATTAATACACACATAATTGTCAAAAACTAAAATAAATTAATCAAAATTCATGAAGTATTCATATTTAGAAATAAAAGTCAGAAGTCTTGAGCAAAACATATATGCAAATGCCAATAAAATAACCTTTGCTATCCTTAAAAGTTTAGGGGCAATATCATTTCCGATTGACACAGCCGGAGCAGCCGTTTTGACGCGGTGTTGTTCTAAATCCAATCCCATTATTACGGTCATTCCAGCCGAGTCACCTATCAGAACGGCACGGCCTGACGAGGTTTTCTTCATTTTGCTATTCCGTCCAGTGATAGCGGCCGGAACAGGCGAGTTTAATAACATAGACCAACATATGGTAGAAGCAAAAGTTTAACTACCTTTAGTCCTGCTGGAACAACCTGAAGCCAACCTACAACCCCTAATTGTACTTCCAAGTTCCCTTCCTCCTTGCTAACCCCAAGCTCGGCCAATCCACAACCAATGCAACAGAGAAACACCAAAACCACCTCAAACAGGGCGTCTGCATGCCCTACAAGTAGCTCAAGACCCCCCCTATTTCTGCCACTGCAGATGGAGCATCACCGGGGCCACTCTCTCTCAAGTGCTTCATTACCGTGCCTCCTATTACTACCAGAAAATGCAACACCATAATCTACCATCTGTCGCAAGCGTCTTCACTAAGGAAAGCCTCCACATGCTCCGTCGAGGCTTGTCTGCGAGCCCTCCTTGTTGTTACTGTTTTGTACCGCTTGCAGCTCAAGCTTGTTCTCAAGGCTTTGAATATCTTCCCAACCAACGGTACATACCTCAACAGAATCTCCACAATGCGTCATCTTTCAAATAAAAGACATTCATCTTCTCTCTAAATTTAATGGATTGTTAAGGAACCAAGTTCAGTTCAGACGCGACATTCCCATGACTGCAAGTATATATCGCAAATTTCTCTAAATCAACCTACATGAGTAGAACGACAACTATACAATAACAAAAGTAAAATTAGAAAACTGTAGATTGGGTATTATTAATGTTCACACAACATCGTTAGATTAGACCTAAAATATAATTTATAACAAATTTTAAGAGTCTCACGTCAGATATTATATGGCCTGGACATGTGTTTATAAATTGGGACAGTCCTCACTCTACCAGCCGGTTTTGTAGGGTTGAGTTAGGCCCAACCACATTTCTTAAAATAGTATCAGAGCCTCGTTTAAGATCCGATGGCCACCTACTAGCGTTTCCGCTATCGGACCACCCACCATTTATTTCTATGCTCCAATTGTCTAGTCCTGAGCATGAGGGGGTGTATTAAGAGTCCCACATCGGATAATATATGGTCCAGTGTTGTCCATGGCGGAGAGCCAAATTCCCGCCATACCGGGCGCTTTGCGGCGCCGTTATTGCGCATTATGGCGGAAAAACCCGCAATAGCTACCAATATTTACCATTGTGGCAAGCTCAAAAACCTCCATGTATATCTGCCATAGCGACCATTGCACCGCAATTTGATAACACTGATATGGCCTGATGCAAATCTATGAGCTGTTCATAAACGTCACCTTCACCGTTTCCACCATAGCGCTCAAGCAACACATCTTTCAAACCTTCCCATGTCAGAGATCTATCTTCATCCACAATAGAGTTGAAGAAATGAGTGGTAGAACCATCCATACACGGCTGAGCCAAACTGACTTTGACCTCCGGTGGTGTGTCGTGTACTCTGAAATATACCTCCGCTCGCGATATCCACCCAGCAGGGTCGTTACCATCAAACGACGGTAGTTCCACCTTACTAGAACTTCCTACTCCGGTCATCTCCCTCATCGTCTCCGACGATTTTTCAGAAACTCCTACCCCCTTCTGGACCTGAACACTGGTTTCGCTAACTTGAATCGATCTTACTAGAGATTTCTCCAGCATCGCCATGAGTGCAGCCGGCATATCTTTGACGGCGTTTTCCACCGCTGTAACTGAAGATCGAATGTCAGCTAGCTTGTTCTCCAACGCTTCAACCTTAGCTTCCATGGATCGTATTACGGCGGTATATTGTCTCTTAAGTGGCATTCACTGATTCCCCTCCAAATATCCGATAGGTCGGACCAATTTGATGGAAACCCAAACTAACAAACAGAGAAATAAACAAGGGTAGAACAAATAAATGCAGAATCGTGTTTATTAATGATGAAATTGGGAAAAGTACAGAGGGAAATGATCCCTGTTACTGACACAAACAAATGAATTCTCAAGGATAACCTCTCAACCTCTCCTCACTCCGTTATGTAACAGAATGGCTACACAATTCTCAATTCTCTCTCCTCAAACCAATCTAACAGAATAATTCCCTATTTCCCCTTCTAGAATAAACCCTCCAAATCTTAGGCCCATGGGATCTGTGATAAATGATTGCCTCATCATTATTCTCCTTTGCCACGTGGTCTCTATCACTCTACAAGTCCCTAATGACCCCCCCCCCCCCCCCCTCCCCCCTATTTCTGCCACTGCAGATGGAGCAGCACTGGGGCCACTATCTCTCAAGTGCTCCATTACTACCATGCCTCCTATTACTACCAGAAAATGCAACACCATAATCATCCATCTGTCGCAAGCATCTTCACTAAGGAAACTCTTCACCAGGAGAAGGCGATGCCTAACCTCCACATGCTCCGTCGAAGCTTGTCTGCGAGCCCTCCTTGCTGTTACTGTTTTGTACCTCTTGCTGCTCAAGCTTGACATTCTCAAGGCTTTGAATATCTTCCCAACCAACATTAGGCACCTCAACAGACCCTCCACAAAGCACCATCTTTCAAATAAAAGACATTCATCTTCTCTCTAAATCTAAGGGATTGTTAGGGAAGCAAGTTCAGGCACCGACATTCCCATGATGCGAGTATATATCGAAAATTTCTCTAAATCAACCTACATGAGTAGAACCACAACTATACATTAACAAAAGTAAAATTAGAAAACTGTAGATTGGGTATTATTAACTGTTTACACAACAAAGTTAGATTAGACCTAAAATATAACTTATAACAAATAAACCACGAAAATTCACCAATAGAATTAGAAATGAAAGTTAAGCAGTAATGAACTTATATAATCAGAAACACCGGAATCAATCCTTAATCAAATTATCTCAAGAAAAAAATGAGTGAAAGTTCCAACTCAATATTCAACACATTAAATATATTCAATTGGTATTGGGGGGAAATAAAAAATTGAATGAATCAAAAGGTGTCCTGATACGCTTATGCGAGTTTGGCTAAAATATGTCATAAAAGATAACACAAACATGAGCCATATTGGTTAAATCATTTATAGCATTTTGTTCAACAAAAAACTAGATAACACCACCAGGGGCCACATTGCTTCTATCATTTCTAGCATTTGGTTCAACAGAAAACTAAAGGTAACACAAACATGAGCCATATTGGTTAAATCATTTATAGCATTTTGTTCAACAAAAAACTAGATAACACCACCATGGGCCACATTGCTTCTAGCATTTCTAGCATTTGGTTCAACAGAAAACTAAAGGTCTTTAAATAGGGATATACCTGTCACGGAATTAATTCAAAGATGACATCAAAAACCATCGGCGGAATGATTACGGAGTAAGGCTCGCCATTTAAATCCTTGGAATGCCTCAGCAACGAAGTACAACCCATGCTCCAAATAGTATCACGGAAACAAAAGAGGGAAAGAAAAGAGAGGTTCAATATCAACAATAAGGATGTTGAGGCAAATAGAAAAGAGAAATGGAATAATACAGTTTAAAAATTTTGGAAAAACATACAAATTTTGGAGTTAAAAAATATAAAAAGATAGGAATATACAAAAATACTGTAAAGTTTTCTTTTTTTTAAATTCAGAATAAAGATTAGTTAGAGATGAAAAAAGATTAGTTACTCATTTCTTGATATTTATAATTGGTTACACATCACCAGCTCATAATAGAATTCTCAACAGAATTCTGATGCAGGGAAAGGGAAGAGAATTGGGCCATGTACAAGGTGATCCAGTCCATATTCCTAATAATTTGTAAACAAAATTCAGAGAGGAAAACTATCAATAGCAATAGGAATTAGGAAAGAAACATGGCAAGTAACCATGAATATCAACTACATAAGTGTAAATTAGTAAACACACGCACATATCAAGAACAACTACTGAAATTACACATGGTTAGTCAATTCAGACAAGCAATCATATGATATGAACCAACATATGGTAGAAGCAAAAGTTCAACTACCTTTAGTTCTGCTGGGGCAACCTGAAGTCACCCTACAACCCCTAATTATGCTTCTAAGTTCCCTTCCATCTTTCTATCCCCAAGTACAACCAATACAACAAAGAAACACAACGTCTTCATGCTCTACAAGTCGCTAACGGCCCCTGCCTATTTCTGCCACTGCGGATGGAGCATCATCAAGGACGCTATCCGTCGAGTGCTCCATTGTTGTGCCTCCTATTACTATCAGAAAATGCGACGCCACAATCTACCATCTGCCGCAAGCATCTTCGCTGAGGAAAGCCTTCACCGGGAGAAGGCAATGCCTAGATACTGCATACTCCGCCGAGGCTTGTTTGCAATCCCACCTTGTCGTTACTGCTTTGTACCTTTTGCAGCTCAAGCTTAACATTTTCAAGGTCTCGAAGATCTTCCCAGCCGATATTAGGCCCCTCAACAGCCTCTCCACAAAGCATTATCTCTCAAATAAAAGACATCTTCTCTCTAAATCTAATGGATTTGTTAGGGCAGCATGGCATTCCCATGACCGTGAGTATACATTGCAAATTTCTCTAAATCAACCTGCATGAGTGGAACCAAAAAAATTAGAGATGAACAGAACTAAAATTAAAAAACTGTAGATTGGGTATTATTCACGGTTCAAACAACAAATAAATCACAAATTTCAACTAAAATTAGAAAACTGTAGATTGGGTATTATTCACGGTTCAAACAACAAATAAATCACAAATTTCAACTAAAATTAAAAAACTGTAGATTGGGTATTATTCACGGTTCAAACAACAAATAAATCACAAACTTCAACTAAAATTAGAAAACGGTAGATTGGATATTATTCACGGTTCAAACAACAAATAAATCACAAATTTCACCAATAGAATTAGAAATGGAAGTTAAGCCGTAGTGAACTTGTGTTGATTCATTAATTTCAAATTATGTCAAGAAAAAAACATAGTGAAAATTCCAACTTAATATCCAACATATTAAATATATTTAATTAGTATCTGAAAAAAAAAATTGGAATGAATCAAAAGGTGTCCTAATACATCTATGCAAGTTTGGCTAAACTAAGTCATAAACAGCACATAACACCACCATAAGTTCACCAAATTGCATATATCATTTCTAGCATTTGGTTCAACAGAAAACTAAAGGTTTTTGAAAGTACGTGGCACAGAATTAACTACCAGATAACATCAGAGAACTACCATCGAAAATGGGAAATAGTAAAGTTCGCCATTTAAATCCACTCAACAAAGAAGCACGACCCAAAATCCAAATCGTAAGAGGTTCAACAACAGCAGCAATAAGCAATAAGGATGTTGAGGCGAATAGAAAAGAGAAATGGAACAAACCTAGTATGGGATTGCGAAATCTCTCCGATATCGGTCATTGGGATTGCGAAATCTCTCCGAAATCGGTCATTGGGATTGCGAAATCGTCATCGGCGATGAGAACGGAGCCGTACTTTGGAAGCATGCAATGTTGCAGTCCATGAAAATACTCAGAATCATTAATTTCGGAACAAACCTAGTAGAGAAGAATCAATGTTGCAGTCCATGAAAATATAGTTAGAGATGAATACCAAATTGATTTTAACCTTTTTTTTCACTTAGGATCTGTTTGGTTCAAATGAGGGGGAGGGGAGGGGAGAGATTTTAATGAAGGGGAGGGGAGGTGAAGGAATTTTTTAAGTAATTTGTTGTGGATTTTATAGTTAGACATGAATATCAAAATGATTTTAACATTAAAGGATTTTTATTTTTAATATATATATATATATATATATATATATATATATATATATATATATATATATATATATATATATATATATATATATATATATATATATATATATATATATATATATATATATATATATATATATATATAAGCCATAATTTTTTCACATATTGAAATAAGGGTTCTTTACTGCGGCTAGGGTTTTCGAATGAGTCTTCCTTCGTTAAGGTTTACAGAAGACTTGAAGGATCTGGCACAAAAAAGTCAAAAGAAAAAAGAGAGACCCGACATACTCTTCCTTACCAGTTATACCTCTTGCGCAAGAGCATGTTGAAGACAATAGTAACAAAAATGTTGTCACGTATAAAAATACGGCAATCGAAGAAACCTCAAACCCAATGGATGACATCATGGAAAACCCTCGCTTATAACCAGTGAGCAAAGCAACTCGAATACTGGAGATTCATGAATGCCCATAATTTATCCTTTCAAAGATGGAAGAAAGAAGGATTATTAATCCATATAAGAGACGGGTTATAGTCAATATGATGGAAAGAATGATAGGATAAAAAGGTTCTTGAAAATAGACTCCAACGTATGTGCGCAAGGAGAGGAATACAAAAAATAGTTAATCTATGGCAAGAATAGTACCTAGTCACTTTCACTAGTGAATATGATCAATATTTAGCCCTAATGGAAAGTCTCTGCCTTATTTACGATCATTATCTTTCTATAAGGAAATGGAGTGTTAACTTTTATCCTACTAGTGATGTTATTAAACAACTTGAAGTTTGGGTAAGAATATATGGGTTACCCGTTGAATACTGTGATGACGAGTTCTTTCGTTTATTAGTGAATGCATTAGAACGACGAGTAAGGTGGATAAGAACACACTTTCATAGGAGAGATGGAAGTATGCAAGATTGTGCATACAAGTACATCAAACAAAACCTCTCTTAGCAATGTTTTTTTATCGAGGGTGGACACTATTGAAGGTGAGAAAATACATAGAATGGGGGGTTGAATAAGTATGAAGATAAAAACTTAGAAATAAAAACTCAAGTAT